CGAGAGAAAGTGGCGTAAATCTAGATTGGAAGTTTATCGACAGATTTATGTTACTGAAAGACGTAAAACAAACTTACTCATTAAAGAAGCGAAGATTGAGTTTTGTAACAACAAAGTCAATGAATTTAACAAGGAAACCTCAAGCTCTTTTTAATTTCATGAACTCCTTGATGGGCAAGTCAAAAGAAGTTGTGTTGCCAGATACACAGGATCACAAGGAGTTGGCAGAGGAATTTTGCTCTTATTTCACTGCGAAGATAGATAACATTCGCAGCAACCTTTTGGGCAAAACTGCTACTGCTCCATCTCTGAATGTGTTTCCAGAGTATGGTGGAACTGTGCTACAAACATTCAAACCTTTCTCTGAGCAAGAGATTCTCAAACTTGTGTTTGACTGTGTTCTTAAGAAGCCGTTTCTTGACGCCAACACCCTGCGACATTACAGGCTCCATTCTGGACGCAACAATACCCTCTTTTGACTAGTAGAATACGTTCTTACCCAGATGTTAGTGAGCTGCTTTCTAAATCCATTAAATGTAATTAGGAATACATCATGTTTGCTTTCAGTATTTTCACAAATGTTATTGATATGTACAAGTCTATCACTGTCTGTACATAGTCCAGGAGGAGAATCTCAAAAGGGGCCTAGAAATAGGATTCGTAGCCTTCCCAGTACTGATTTTGTTTGACTCTATTTTCAGTTAGTATGAAGTCTTGGGCACATGAAATGGCCTGTAATACTCTCAGATTGTGGTATCGGGGGTTTTTTACAGGCCACTATATGTGGTGGGGGTCTCTGAGCATTTTCGTCACATTTGATTTGCTGCCGAATAACACCTCAAAGTTAATCATGCATAGTTTTACTACTATCAATCTGATCACCTTTATTTTGACTGCTGTGTATTGCTAAAGGATGTAGAAATTATTTGACATATTTTTGTTTTGAAAAAAAATCAAAATGGCCGCCATTTTGTTTTGTCGTGTTTTGCCTTCTCGGTGCTTAAATGTACAGAAAAATGAACACTAAATGTTTCCATTTACATCCAAAGTTGATACTTTTGATGTCTTTTTACACTTGTCTCTCGTAGAGTGATGGCCTGGGCATAAAACAAGTGGTTTTGTATTGTCATATCGTGGTAATGTAATGTCTTACAGCTTATTCTTCGAGACAGGGGTATTTTAGCGTTTTTCCGACTTTTCATGAAAATGTGTGGTGGTGATTTATTCATTGAAAGTTAACATTATTTTTGTAATTCGTTTCTAGTTCCTCTTTATTTCTAGAGTGACAGCATGTTATTAGGAATTTGTATATGTTACCAAAAATTCAAAATGGCCGCCATTGTAGTTTTACTGCATATTTATAGTGGATGACTAAATTTCTACTGATATAAAACCAAACAATTTATTTGGTGTCAAATTTTCAAAACAGTATTGGAATAGATAAATTTCAATTATATGGTCAATGAAAGCTTTGCTAAGGATCAAATCATTGATTCAACAGAAAACTATGATGTGGGGTCATTTGTTTTAAATATCTATGCCTATTGTAAGCATGGATCCACGTTTTCAGTATGTCATTGCTTCTTGTGGATCCCCTACCTGCTATTGACGGGTGTTGTGTACTTGTCAATGACCCGTGCCATGATTTGCAAAATGGTTGGTTGGGGCCATGAAACCCAATTTTATGGTTACTCATGTATCAAGTGCATACGGTTAGCTTAAAGTGGCTGTTTTCTTAAAGATGTGTTACCATGTAAATATTTATCCAGTTTTAAATGGATACAATTTCAAATTATAAATCTACGTTTAAGTAAAGTTGCGAATTTTTGTGATCCTTATCAAAGTCTGAGTAGTGACTCCATGTCGGAATCGGAGTCATCTACTGGCAACAAGTCAAAGTTGTTCGGGCAACAATCACCTGCCATACAAAGACATGCAGGCCTCTGTTCACACTAGATCATTCTATCTGCATTGACATCGATCTCTCTGCTGGCATGCTGACTTTTCACATTTACACGATGTCAGTTCAACCAATCCACGGGGAGCAGGATCTCTCAACATCAGAATAGGGATAAGCTGACCATCACAAATGCTCCGACCATGGTCAACTGGTGAAGTAATATTCTTGATTGGTTACAGAGACTGTTTTCAAACATGCACTTGATAGTTTACTTGCTCAATGTGATGTTTTAGACTGTTGGGTGTTGCTAGGAGGTTCAATATCTTGTCTCATCTACAGACATCACGGGAATATTTGGTACATACATAGAACTCAGAAACTGGCCACTGACGAGTCACGCTTCACACTGCCCTTTGCTCACATTGTTGTGTTCGTGAAGATGATCAATTTGAAGGGTACAGAGTTATGGTTTGGGGACCATTTTCTGTCGATCTTAACTGACTATTGTCCAGGGGGCTACCATACAGTATCGGGTCCAAGATTTCATGTGCCATTCATGCAACTACATGGTCATTGGTTGATATTTAAACATAACAATGCAACACCCACACTGTAGTTATAGAGGTTGGGCACCTAAGGGAAAACGAGTGCAACAGCCAGAACTTACAAAACCTCGTCAAGCACTCGTTGGCCAATGGCCGATCCTACTACTTCCGGTAAGAGCGTTTCAACAGGTTCTCCTGTCGACGAGGAGTTGTTATGTTGCTGCCACAGTCGGCTTTGGAAGTAACGACGAAAGCGTAGTAGGGCCACGGTGAATTTTGTTTTAGTTTCATTATCTCCAAAGTACGAGATACTATGTCCTTCGTAGGACATAATATCTTCTACGTAGGTCGTATCTACTACGTAGGTCATAGTATTTCCTACGAAGGACTTAGTACTTAACATCTCCTTCGTAGTACTTAGTATCTCCTACGTAGGAGTTATTAAGTCCTACGTAGGACATACTATCTCCTACGTAGTACTTAATACCTCCTGTAGGAGATGATCGATATATGTTAATAGACATTAATCTGAAATGGTCGACTTAAATCCCCAGACACGCAAACAATCTCCTGATTCACTGTTTCAGTCAATATTAGAGTCTACAGTTATGTGTTTCATTTACTATTAGAGTCTACTGTTTCCTTCACTGTTAGAGTCATGTGTTCAACTAATTGCTGCACATTACTCTCATGTGTTGGACCGACTGTTATACTTTACTGCCTTGCGTTCAGTTTGCTCTACTATTACGCGTCGCAGTTAGTTCACTGATATATGTCGCACTTTAGTACACTTTACTATTATGCGTTGGATATTTCAGAGTTTGTTGCACAGGAGTCTAAATCTGCATGCACAGACGTGTCTTAGACTATCGGTGGCAATCTACGCATGCTTATTCCCTTATACTTATACAAATAACTATAATGACAATTCTTTGCACTTTTGAATTTCGTATTGTTTTACGCCGCACTTAACACCTTTCAAGTCAAGTCAACCTGTAAACAATCACGAAAAAACAAACCACAAACGAGCGTTGCATCCAACTTAGCCTCCATCTGAAGACTCCAACACTCAACTTGCGGAGGACGTGTTACAACCAGAATTTCATATTTTTTTTCAAGATTTTTCAAGATTCCTTATTCAGTATCAAAGGCCTGCAGCCCAGAGTACGTGTATGTATATATATTGTATGTATAGTCAAGTCATTATAATACAATACAATACAATATAATTAACTGGAAACTCCTGCTAAACAATCTATCTGATGCTGTAATCTTTCCACAGAATCACCATCATTGGCAATATCATCTGCAAACATTAACAAGGTAATATATTCAGCATACTCACTCACAAAAGTACCCTTGCAATTGTTTGACCTGTGATTATCTACCAACTCATTCAAAAACAAAGTGAACAAAAGTGGATTTATCATACACCCTTGCCTGGTTCCAATTTTGCACTCAAAGTACTCAGATAGTGAAGACCCATTTACAAGTACACAAGACTGTACAGAGATGAAATAACACTGAAAAATTTACCTTTCACACCTCTCTGCAATAATACATATTTCAACAAGTGATGCTGAACACTGTCAAATGCCTTTTAGAAATATATGAATACACAATAACAACGCCCTTCAGACGTTGCATCGGTACTAAAACTTAATATGACTCTGGAACCTGAAGACATGGTAATTCCTATTTTGTACTGGTTTTCATTTCTTCTTAACGGTCCGAACAAACATTCATCGAATAGCCAATACCTTCCCGATTCAACAACCTGAACCAGAAATAGAAGATACCCGTGAAAACGCCTCTTCTATCCCACGTTTAGATACTATGAATCAAGAATTCTGAGTAATATTGTTGCATTTAAACACTGGGAAATATGTTTGTGCTTCCATGAGTAGATAGCATTTAGAAAGCTTTAGTCTAGACAAGTCATGAAGAAAACATTAAAGCAAAATATGTTCGTACAGTCAGAAACGTATTGCAAATGTTCTGGTGTGTTATCTTTAGAAGAAATCTGCAAATGAAACACACTATCAACATTTGGCATGACTTTGAAACCCGAAGACAGGGTCATTTCAGTTTTGTATTTGATCTCAAGTCTTCTTCCTCAGATCTACGAACCTGAACCAGAAATATAACAGCCTCATCCATCTCATATTTACATCTATAAATTAATATTGCTACATTTAAACAATATGAAATATGCTTACCATGCCTCCATGAATATGTAATCGGTATTATACAAACAAAAGCCGAAGAAATGGTCCACATTGTCTCCACAAACTGCACGATGAACAGTTTTTTTCTCAAGTTGTCATAAAGTACTAGTTTCCAATTTTGTAACCAGCAATATTTGCATGCACGTTTTTACCGCTATGGGCAGTCGTACACTGAATTGCACCACCTGTTTAAATCCATATCCATATCAAGAAAAAGAAGGCCCCGGAGGTCCAGGAGGGAGCAAAATGAAGGCCCTGGCGGTCGAGGAGGTCCAGGAGGAGAGGGCCCCGGCGGTCCAGGTGGAGAGGGAAATGAAGGCCCCGGAGGTCAAGGAGGTCAGGAAAGACAAGGACCCGGAAGTCAAGAAGGTCAGGAAAAACAAGAACCCGGAAGTCAAGAAGGTCAGGAAAGACAAGGACCCGGAAGTCAAGAAGGTCAGGAAAGACAAGGACCCGGAAGTCAAGAAGGTCAGGAAAGACAAGGACCCGGAGGTCAAGAAGGTCAGGAAAGACAAGGACCCGGAAGTCAAGAAGGTCAGGAAAGACAAGGACCCGGAAGTCAGAGAGGTCAGGAAAGACAAGGACCCGGAGGTCAAGGAGGTGAAGGATCTGGCGGAGAAAGGCAACCTCCTCCACGAAGGAACTAACTTTCACGCAAGGTGAGCTTGTTTCTAGCTGCCTCAATTTCTAATCTTCGTTTCTAGACCATAACTGAAAACAGCCTGAACTGAACAACTGAACAAAATTATATATTATATTGATGAAAAGTTTAAAACTCTGAAACAATATACAGCAAAATAAACTAAACTAAATTGTGTTTTTGTTTGTTTTATGTGTGTGTTGAAACCACTTTTCACCCCAACGCTGCGGTGAAATTAGTGAATCGTTTAGGGTTTTTTCATCGCGTTATTTTTCAACTTTATAAGTTGAATTTGCATTTTTGATGCATTGCTTTTTTCTGTAAGTCCATACCGAAAGGTGTCAGAATCTGCAAAGTTGTGTTTTCCGTTGCATGTGACCAGCAAATGCTTATATGTATTTCTTATGCAACAATGAAGTTCCGTTCGTATCCTCAAAACAGTGCCGGCCATAAGTTTAATACAGCGATTACTACTCCCTAGCTGTAACTCGTGTTTGGTGGTATAAAACATACACATGTTCTTTGTCATCATTCACTTCATGATCAGTTATATTAATGAATTTATAACAGATATCATTAGCGGTAACACCACTTAGATTACCCGACAAATGTTCCCATTTGGCATTTCTCGTGTCTGCAGTGAATACTCAACATTATAAATTAAGGGCTGATCCGACAAATGTATTACACGTTATGTAATGTGCCCATGGAAGTGCAGGAAGAGGAATTATCACCTGAATTATAAAAACAAACATCGATCAAAGGATTAACCGATAATACGCTGACGGATTGATTAATTTTATCTTGCAAAGCGGATTTGTCAAAAGCTAGTGTTTACGTAATGCTGCGTTTACACTAGGCCACGATTAGGCCACGATTCCCGGGAAGTAGAATTTTGTTGTTATAGTATAGTCTCCGTGATGTTGTGCCGGTGTTGTTATAAGGGATTAAGTCACTGGGTGCTGTGAAATTCTGAACTATGTTGTGGAATATGATTTCCATTTGAGTTTAGCTCACTGAGATTATAATGATACTGATTAATGTGTTCACTCAATCAGTGCCATACAGTACGTTCATGTCTTACATATTGTATAAATACCATTAAGTTACAATAGCTAGTATCATTTTCACAATGGCTCATGAACAGTTAAGAGTTTAATTACAAGTTCCTTCCTACTTCACGTGGTGGTTGGTACTTGTGTGCTGAAGGATACATGTACAGAGTAAACAAGAGGATACAATTCTTGTTGGAGGAGCAAAACATTAATGAACTGAACATGTTACAATACAGTGCTGGCCAGAGACTTCCCCAAAGAAAAGAAATATCAAGACCTCCAAAGAGAACTGTCCGCCTGAAACACAGACTTGCGGTTGGCAACATTGATATGTTGTAGTACTTAGATAGGGTCTCTCATGAAATGAAACTTGCTTAAAAAATGTAATATGTGTAAAATGAATTGTGACTTTATAGTGATATTGATAAAGTAATTACTTAACTATGTCAGAATTGAATATGTATTTGTAATTAAATCTTTGAAGGGCATTTCATCAGGTGAAGGAGCAAGCATACGCTCCGAAACGTCGTGTTAGTCACATAAAGAAATTGACATCCATAAATCTTGCCTTTCTTACATTTGTAATTGGTAATGTTTGGTGCAATATTTGATATATTGATATTTCATATGATATGTTTTTATCTTGTGATTAATAAAACCTATGTTGGTGGGTTTCATCCTATATCGAGCTGACAATCCGTGATATAACTGAAAGATAAATACTGTTGAAAGTCGTGTTAAGCCAAACTCACTCACTTATTCAGAGCAATGCACGTACCCCGGGCTGTGAATGGGGGTTAATTTCCAATATTAGCATGCCGAGCTTGTGAAGGTAAGGCCGCAATAAATTTAAATACAGAGTTTGATTATTTTCTAAAAAGAAATGGGAGGCGAGAAGAAGAATAATTTACTTCTTTTTTTTTCACTTTTTATTCTGTCGAAGGATTCGATTCACATGCATCAAGCATGTTCAGGAGGGCTATGTTTGTGGAGTATTTCATCAAGTAAAGAAATTAGGAATGTAACAGGGATGAATGATTATTATTAACATCATAGGATATTTATATTTATATATCGCACATATCCACGCAACTACTCCTTGCTCAAGGCGCTAGTATATTTTTCCCTCGTTTATTTGGATGTCAATCTCAACGGCACATAGTATTATCAATCTCAACTCCCTTGGAAGTATACAACTCTTGCTGCCTCTAGGCGCACCGAGTTTATTGTGACTTTCTCATCCTAACGAGATACCCATTCACAGCTGGGTGGACTGGGACACATAGTCACGGTACTTTGTCCAATTTGACTTCACGTTGCTGTACCTAAGTGTTTGCACGTATTCATGTGACCACCATCTGGTCATATACCAACGGATTCGTTGGTTCTTTTAAGTGCACTGGGTTGTGTACTGTGCACTTCGGGTTGGGACAACACTGAAAGATTCTGCACACAAAGCTGACTGCAAGGTTTTCACACCCGGTCACAGATAGGCTCGATCCCGACACCTCAACCTCGCTGGATCACTAGCCGGCACTTTAACCAGCTCGCCCACCGCGCGAGTGGTTGTATATTGTGTACAAAAATGAATAACAAATCATCATTATCTTATATCAGGATATGATGAATTTAAGTTACAATTAGTTGTCAGTTCAGCTGCCTCTTGTCTTTCTGTTTCAGTGAGTGAGTGAGTTTAGATTTACGCCGCACTCAGCAATATTCCAGCTATATGGCGGCGGTCTGTAAATAATCGAGTCTGGACCAGACAATCCAGTGATCAACAGCATGAGCATCGATCTGCGCGATTGGGAACCGATGACATGTGTCAACCAAGTCAGCGAGCATGACCACCCGATCCCGTTAGTCACCTATTAGGACAAGCATGGGTTACTGAAGGTTCATTCTAACCCGGACCTTCACGGGTCTCTTTGTGTTTCATGTACAGTTCTGTGTCACAGTTTGGTCAGAATCAAAGGTAGTTATTATACATTTTAATTGTTACATATAGTAAATTAAACCCTAACATTAATCATTACACAAAATAGGTATAAATATGCCCATGATAAACAAAATAAAAGTGAATACACAGTATACCATTTAACATGTATGAATGTGCTTATGGTTTGTTTTCTATATGTGTAGTCAATATGCTGGCTAGTAGTTCTTGTTTGGTAACTATTTTCTGTATCATGTAAGATCGATATATCTCATCTATCATGTATATTGTATGTACTTGACAAAGATTACATTTGATCAGTGTGTGGTACCTATATGGGATTATTGCATGCGTTGACTGTTCGGCTGCTGGATGTGCAGACACACTCTCGTGTCACCCACAGGATAGGTTTCTTTGTACAGTATCTATTGTCTATTTCATTATTATACCATGTATTATTATAAGTCATTATGTCAACACTCATTTTGTATATCACTGTAAACATGTGATCACGTAAGTCATTTGTGTTATATTGCATCGAGTAATACCTGTATATGATTGTTGATAGGCACATTTATGCACTATATTTATTATGATGACATGTTAATCAGATGTGATTTTATGTTGTATATATCGTGTATATTATTGTTATTACAGGGTGTCTTCGTCCACAACGATATGGAAATAACAGATATCTCACTCATAACCCGTAGTCTCCACTTTATCATGGCTGCCACAGGAACACAAATATTATTGGTACAAATGCATTTCTATTTCTTGGAACTTGGAGACGAAAGAATAATGTAAGACAGGGTGTTTTGTAGTCAGGCGGGAGCGGAAGAAAATCTATTAATTAATATTTTATGGCCTAAACTAGCGAATATGGTGTCGAGTAAAACATCAGACAAGCTCATTTTAGCCGACTGCTAGAAATTGCTCAATTTTTTTTTTTTTTGAATGAATATGCTAGCCGTATATGATGTCGCATCATGGAGAAACTCACTGGTCTGTGATTATTTCTATAACTGACGGTGTAGCTGCGAATTGATGCGGCTTTAAGCACTATTTTATCACTCACTGACGTTAATATATTTTCCAGCTTCCGGACACTTTCATGTTTTCACTTTTATTGGACATTCATATTCACAATTTCGTTTGTTAAATTATATTTAACACGTTGAGGATTTTTAAGTACATAAGAAATTGTAACAACGGCAGCGGACTTATATACACTACCCTACACTTCGTGTATGTAAATTACATAGCATTTTCAAGCTATGTCATAATTTTGCTAAATGCTACTTGGGAAATGAAAGAAGCATGACCACAACACTACTAAGATGCGCATGCGCCTTGACCTTATGATATTACGCATGCGCAACGACAGCGTCTAAAGCGCGAGATCGCGAGATCGCGAGAAAATGAAATGTCGCATTCTCGCTTTCTAGCGATTTCGTGTTTTTTGTGGCCTTATTGACAAGTCGAGATTGCGAGATTGCGAGATTTGACAGCATGTACAAATGTCGCATTCTCGCGTTGTCGACTTTTGACAAAAAGTGCTATGTACCAAAAATGCAAGATCGTGAGAATGCTAGATTTTGGCCAAATCTCGCATTCTTGCGATCTCTCACTCTCGCACTTTTAGCATTTTTAGCTTGTTTCCAAAGGTCGAGATCGCGAGAATGCAAGATCGCGAAAATGTCCCTTACAGTATTCCAAACTATAGGCTTGGAATCCTTTTTCGCTTTAACATGTTCAGAACATAATCTTTGGAAACAATTTTAGAATTTCCCTAAAAGATTCAGTAGAACTATTTTGTCCTTGTTCGTCCAATTGTACATTGTATTCCTGCAATTTGACTGCATATCTATTAATTTTGAGAAAAACGTCATGACCTATCTCAACATGAAAATAAGCTATATCGAAACACAAATATTATCAAAGAAGATTTAGATATATTAACAAATACAAAAAGCATATACATTACCCGGAATAACTATATGAACTATCCTACACCAAATCCTTTTGTCGAAATGATTTTAGATTTTATGGACAAATAC